TTTAGAGCATATAAATGTTATCGTATGGTGAAGCGTATTGACATTGCAATTGATTTATCGATAGTTGATATTTTAACTAATATTTCCGATTCAAGTGGAACCTGTCTAGTTTTGTTTATGAATATGTAACGTAATTCACCTCCCAAAATGATCGCTTATGAACTCTATAGTATATATTATGCATATAACATTTGTCGAGATGTTTTTCCTTTGGTTTTTGGTTTATAAAGCATCATGTTAATATTTAATCAATTTTAGTAGCGAAAATGAAACAAAATATTTGCGGCCGTTTCTCATTCAAAATTGGGTCCATTTTAGTGAATTTGGATGTTTAACTGTATGTAATGCCGAAAAGCAAATGAAGCAAACGATAGTTCAGGCAATTGGTCAATGGCAACAATAAAACATCAAAAATAAAGATTTTAAGAGGATAAGATAAAAGGATATTATTATGATATATTTACACATTATGCATGTTATGTATTTCTATAAATTAAGAAAAGTAATATATTAAGTAATCTTATTTTTCATGCAATGCTTTAAACTTTAAATTCTTGCAAATTAGGATTGTCAAAACCCGGTCTTCAGATGTTCAGTTGCACTCATTTTCAATTAATCATATGTTTTTTTCTTCAAGACAAACTCACAATCCACCAAAACGTACAGACAGGCCTATATACTTTGCTGATTTTGTCTTCTTATTTTTTTAACTGTAGATTTAAACTATGTTGTTGTTTTTTAATAGAACTTTCGAAGTAATACACACATATCAAATCTTCACAACAAATAAAAACAAGAGAAGTAAAATGTGAAATATATTTGACAGATTTGGACACCACAATATAACGTACTACAAATACTATGGACTATATGCTTAACATAGGACAGTTAAATTGATACAACAATCATAATTAGTTTAAACCATTTAATAAACAAAGTGTAAGTGTATAAAACGATAAATAAACAGAAAAAATAATGCAGTCACTATTTCAATTGAATAAAATATTAACAAAAGAGAAACAAATAAACATATAAATATCGAATGATATGTAAAGCGATAAAAAACATTATGTAATTGTTCAAGCATTAGTTAAAAATATCCAAATGTTCTATTCATAATGATGCAGTCAGTTTTGACAGGTTATCCTCTAAAGTATCATTGGTGAAAATGATTTGAAGTTGGCATAGACTTAAAGACTAACATGAATATATAAAAGAATAAAATCAGTAATAGGTCACATACACGTGATTATGACTGCTTGTTTTATTGTTACTTTTTTTAATCGTTTAAGGCCGTCCATGCTTACTTATTCATTATGATTCATATACTCATGTAAATCTAAAAAAGATACACCGCGAAAACACTAGTCCGATGAAATTTAACTTTGGTTCTCAAATTGTGTACATCTTATATGTACATCTTATTATACATGCTAAATAGTCTATGACATCTATATTTTACTGAACTTGTCCTCGCTTACTCTTTGAAGCATCAGACTGAAGAAACCAGACGTTGCTAACAGTACCAGAGCAAAGAAGATGATGAAGAGAATCACGTCGACTTTCTCCAGAAACATTGCCCAGGTGTATATCTCACCATCATCATTTCTGTTATCTACTTTACATTCTGCTGGATCATTCTTGTCATCCGTATATCCTCTAGTTGGATCAAAAGGTGTCGGTCTCATTATTACGGGTTTTCTAGGCTGAAAACATTTGATGCTGCATGGTTTGTCACCAATACTTGACATACGGTTGGCTTGTATGATGGTGTACACGACGGAAAGAACGCTCATGAAGAGCAGGACGATGATAAAGAGAAGAAAGCAAGAAATTTGAAGGGAATTGTCCGGTAGAGTGTCACTTACGATTGTAACGAAGATACCGTAAGAAAGAAATATGGTAATTGCGAAAGAACCTTTCTCACCAGACCCAACAGGAACAAGAAACACGCAAATATTAAGAAATGCCAACATCAGGAGAGGCATAATCAAAGTAAATGTTGCAAAGTTAGGTCGTCTCTGTAGCTGGAATTCTATGTCAATGTGGTACGTGTTATATAGGAGGTACTTCCTCTTGCTGAGACTGGTTATTTTCCACGCTGAATTCTCCGTGTATTCGTCAAAAGTGACGCTTTTAGGATAGTCAAGCATAACGGTTGTTATAGTCTCATCAGATACGTAGTATGTAACCGTGCAGACTTGGTGATCAAATGGATATAACTTGATGTTCACATTGCAAACCACACTATAAAGAGATATTTATTGATATAATCAAACTTGTTTAATGAAAGCAATCCTTAAGGAATCAAGATATCAGCATTGTATATGTTACATCCTCATACAATCTTTGATACATGACCTTATAAATATCATTTGATTTTATCAACATATGCACTTTTATGTAACTTAATTGAATATGTAAAATCGAGTCCTCGTAATATAAGATGTAATCCTCGTTATATCAGATGTGTTCGCGTAATCTTATCAAATATACTAATTTTGATACCTGTATATACTTTCTGGTACCCACTGAACAGAACCGCCAGACCAGATTTTAGCAATGTCTGTTTTAGCACTGCCAACAACTCCGTCACCGTCGAGGCCTATAGCAGAACACATTCAGTAATAGTTTTTGTTTGTATCGAGATGGATTGTAAAGTAATAAAAACATGTTAAGATTTTGCAATATAAGTCCGGCCAATATTCCAGCCAAGATGTTCATTATAAAAATGTGTATTTGTATTTAGAAATCGGAATTTTTATATAATTACCATTAGGTTTCTTCTTAACATATGTCAGTATAATCAGAAACTGATTATTCCCTATTGAACCAAACCTTCTATATTAGCACATAAACACTACAAAGTTGTTATAATACATTTAGTATAATTAGGCTCGGTGTCCATATTTCAGTAATAGAAACTTTTAAATAAATTCGTCCCAGCAAAGTCTTAGGGATTCCACGTCATCACTTCGTCTTTCCATTCAATCCTGAAGTAACAAAAGGACAGAGAATTTCTGCTCGGATGTATCAAAATGCAGAACACTCTGTGGCACGAAGGTAGTGTTAACATTTACAACAAGGGATTGGTCAATTCGTGGCCGGATTCTTGTGTCATAGCTGTGAAAAGAAATAAAATAATTACAAATATTGAAATAAATTAATTTTGATTAGAACGTTTTTCTTTAAAAAAAACGCTTAACGTTTTTAACCTTATTTCTAACCTTCATGTGAATTTGAAAAATGGTATGATTTGTTTGTATCTGTTCTTTCTTAAAAGAAAAGTGTTAAATGAACATAGAATCATGTAAAAATGTTCTTTGTCTAATATCTAAGTTCTTAAATTATTCTTTGGTCATTCAAACTATTATTAAAATATATTTGTTCTTTTTTCTTGAGTATTATTTTTTGCAGTCATCGGAATATTTTTAAAACATTAAATGCATAAATACGAAACTAAGTTTTACATTTATCATGTTGCTTTCATCACACATTTAACGCACATTTTGAATACCATTGATGATTCGCTTTTAATCAGGTGTGCGATATTTTAGCTTCAATTCCGCAAAATAACTGTGGAAAATGAAGGTATGCGAATTTTATAGTTGTTTTTATTCTGTCATTTTAATTTTTTGCCAATATGAAACTATTTTTATCCTGGCTTTCATTTAAGAGATTATTATTATAATTTCGCAGCACAATTGCACAATTTAATGTAGAGAATGAATTTGAAATCGCTCTGACCTTTGTATCAAGACGCACGTTGGCGGGTTGTGAAGTTTTGAAAATTACCATTTTGCAAAAAGCAGGTTCTTATATTAACTTAAGACAGAAAATGTTTCACACTATGACTGCAGGAAGGTCATGTCAACCTAACCCTTAAATTATTGAAATATTTTGATAAAAACATTCATTATATAAAGTAACATAAAATAAACCACCTACCTTCATTTAACAAAGTAAAGTAAAGTGCAGAATTATGACCATTAATTGCAAACATGATATAAAGCGAAATATCGATGCTAGCAAAGGTGTATGCGCTGAGTCAATAACATTCTTACTCCGATAGAGTTGCATTAAATAATGCCTTCATCCCATCTAGATCTGTACCAACATGATCAGTTTCTAGACCAACAGCTTGCGATGCTGCTGACCCAGGTGTAGTGGATGGTTCTTCAGTAACAGGAGGCCCGTCAGGGACTGGAGGGCCAGAGATAGAAACGAGGTTATTAAAAAATATCAATTTAAACAGGAACGCGAATCTATAAACTATTTTCAGTAATTCGACCATCCAGATGTATTTTCAGAACGAAACAAAAACGTCAGATTTTTTACTTAACAACAGAAATGCACCTTATGTCCTGTATAATGCCTGATACGATTGGATATAAGAAATATAAGCAGGAGATTCGTACTAAATTAAATTACCATATGTTTTATTTCAATCACTATGTAAATATTCGTCGTCAATGTTTTATAGCAAAACAGCACGAAACTATTCAAGGTTTTACGTAAGTAATTAAAAGAAGTAATAACTAAATACCTGTCAATAGTTATGACACTATATATTTACTAAGATACAATTTTTGTCAACAAAGGGTTTTATTGTGTATTATTCTTCATTTCATTTGTATGAAATGCCTTCTTTAAAATTAATTTGAAAGTCTGCGTTGCCTAATACCTCACCTAGAAGGTAACCTTGATGCTCTTTGCTAAGCATTTTGTCTTGTTTTAATATAATCGTTTTTATATAATGTTGTCTTTACGAAGCATTTACTGGTAAATCTAACTGGTGTGTTATTAAAACTCGTGACGTAACCCTAGTGACATAAACGATTGAAATTGCTGTGTACTACATCTCTTCAACAGATATTTTACCAAAATATATGCATCAGAGACCGTCTTATCAACGGTCGTACGTCCGTTTTAATCGTTCAATTGTTGTATGTCATTCGTACGATTTGGGCAGTATCTTATCAAACCTTCGATTATCGTAAGACCGGGCATTTTCTACGATCGTTAAGAAGCAGTCGTAGATCAAACAAAATCAAAGTACATGTTGCAAAGTTAGCTCGTCTTTGAAGCTTGAATTCCATGTCAATGTGGTACGTGTTATATAAGAGGTACTTCCTCTGGCTTAGAATGATTATTTTCCATGCTGAATTCTCCTTGTATTCGTCCAAAGTAACGCTATAAAGATTGCATTGTCTGACAAAACGGTTGTTATAGTCTCATCAGATACGTAGTATCTGACAGTGCAGACTTGGTAATCGAACGGATATAACTTGATGTTTACATTGCAAACTACGCTATGAAGGTTTAATCAAATGGTTTACATAGGATATAAAATAATCAAAATGATGGAGGGGTAATTTGTAATTAGTAGTATGTATTGACTGTTATAAAAACATTAATTCAAGTTTCTTTGAACGTTTGTCAACATTTGTAATGTAATTATACTGAAGTACATATGACTTTGCACATTAAGTGAAAGCAATCCTTTATTGACACTGATCAATAAGGAATCGAGATATAAGCATTTTAAAATTCACATGCAAATAAAAACTTGATATATACAAAAAAAATGTATTCATCCCATTATACCTATCTGTCTTACTTTATTGAAAATGTTATATCAAAATCTAGCTATATTCGAGAAATCTTATCAAAAATTCTTTTTTAGAAACATATATAATTATGGTCTCTTGCACCCACTGAACAGAACAGTTGGATCAGATTTTAGCAATGTCTGTTTTAGCACTGTTACCAACAGCGTCACGGTCGAAGTATTTTAGGAGAACACATTCAGTAACAGAAGTATTGGGAAGGATTGTAAAGAAATAAAACACGTTTTATGATTTTAAATGAATCGTAACTTTCACATGATTCGTCCCCGAAAAGTCTTTGGGATTCCACTTGACCACTTCGTCTTTCCATTCCATCTTAAATTAAGTAAAAATAAAAAATATATTTGTTTATTTTTGTATTTGCATTAATCTTGTAGCGTTTATATTCAAGCACAAGTTGAGTATTGTTGATGATTCTTTTATTCATGTGTACTATTTCCGAAGCTTTTATTTCGCGAGAAATCAAGGTAGGGTAAGCGAATCTTTACCTCTTCATTTTGTAATCATTTTTTCCAATATGAAAACAAAATTTCCACCTGTTTTCCACCTAAGTACATGTGTTATTTTCTCAACACAAATGAATCTAGAGTCCATATGATCTTTTTCCCCTCGAGTGACGCGCACGTGAACCTTGATAAAAATGTAATTGTAAATTTTAGTATATTTTTAATATTGAAGGAGTGTCCAGAGAATGATAAAAATCTTATTGAACTGTTGTAGTGTTGTTAGTTCAAAGCACACTCATGAAGCAGCATTCGCATACATGCAGCATCAGACAAAAAAAAACATTTTATATATTCCCTCTTACTAAATATAAATAGACTTTAAAATTGAAATAACTTTGATATATCGCATGCAATGTTTTGTTTCAAAATGCACGCGGAATAGTTGTGGATTTCTAAAATTTACATCTTTCAAAATAAAGAGACAAACATAAAACATAAAACTCACACAGTATAATAGCAGTCAGCCAGGTCAAACTACACATTAAATTATTGAAAATGTTTGATAACACATTTATGTAGAAAAAAGACTACAACCACCCACTTTAGCAGAATCGTTCGACCGTTTATTGCAAACCTGATTTGAAGCAACCTTTTTAAGGTGTATAATTTAAGTAGGAAACATTTTTACTCCGACAGAGTTGCATTAAATAATGACTTCATCCCATCTAGATCTGTTCCAACAAGATCACTTTCTTTATCATCGGCTATGACAGCTAATGTGTTTGATCCCCAATCAACAAGGACAGGCACTGCCTGACTAAAGATCGTAACAAGGGTATTAAAGAATATCAATATACACAGGAACGCGATTCTGTAAAACATGTTCACTCAGATATATTTCCAGACTATTATGTAACAGAAGAGATATACCATACGTCCTTAAATGCAGCCTGGAATCAATTGATATAAGAGATATACGCAGGAGAATAATTATATAGGCTTTCAGATATTCTTTAATCAATCATGAAATGAATGTTTGTCGCAAAAGTTTAATTATATAACAGCAGGTATATTCAACACGACGCTTTTAAAATGCATAAAAAAAGAGTAACTACATATTGCCTTTCAAAATATTGATATTTAAATACAAGCATGACAGAAAAAATGTTTCTTATTCTTTATTTATTTGTTTAGGATTTCTGAATCACTGAATCATTTGAATGGTATGTCTTATTTATAGTTTTTGCAAAGCATTTCTTTTTGCTTTAAAATAATCATATTTACTTTATGTTGGTTTTTCGTATAGCTTACGCGTTAATAAAGCCACGTGGAGATGGTGTTTATTATAACTTGGGACTAACTTCACTAGATTGACAAAAACGAAATAAAAAGATAAGCGAGTGCATCTACATCTTTTCTTTACGTTGGAGTTTTTCGGAATGCATATATGTATGTTAACCTTTTTGCTGATGATACAAGTCTCAATCTTGTCATTGAAATCCCAAAAATTGCAGCTCAACAATTATAAACAGAAATTCAAACAAG